TAGAGAAGAAAATTTTTCAGTCGCTACCCGGATTCGAACCCGGGACCTTTGAATGAGAGGCCAACACCTTAACCTCTAGGCCACGAGAGTCCCTCTTTTGGGTTTGTGGCTTGTGGTTTTGGTCGTTGTTTTTTAAAGTACGGATGCCTACAAAGGTGTTAGACATGCAAAATAGAATGTTTCCAATCCTTACCTTGAACTCGATAGCCAGCTGCTTGTTTTGCCGCCTTTGCCTGTAGACCGCCTGGAACTTGTTGACAGGGATTGGATCCCCAGACACCTGGCTGAGGGCGCGCTCCTCCCTGGCTGTGGAATCGAGAGACAAACCACACATGACCTTCAGCTGGGACATGCGCACACCCAGACACGAAGCTAGGCTTTTGCTCATCGTCATGACCACACCACGAGGTGCTGGTGGGAGGTGGAGTGAGTAGAATTATTGTATAGATTTCTTTGCGGGTGAAGACGAGTGTGTGTGCTATTGTGTGGGTTTGTGTTTGGGATTCTGTAAACTTGCTTTTCGAGTCGGAATCTCTGAGAAAGTGTGTAGGGTAGTCTAAGATGAGTTTGTACCGGTGAGAAGCTGTAATCGTTCGTGTGCGAGGTTTTATGAAGTTGTATGCAAGACGGCATAAGAAAGGTGGTGGTACCGGAGGAAAGACCTGCATGAAGACTGGTGTCAACTTTCGTCCACATGAAAAGTAACTTCTCAGACATTTTCAAGGTGGCAAAAAGCATTCATATCAATCGAATCAGCAGCGTTTACCACATGCACATCACATCACTTTTGTTGGTGCTCCAGACGCGAATGAATCTATTTGCACACATTTTCGGAGTACCGTGTACGTTCTTCCGTGAATTCCATCTGCCTGTACGTGGACATCAATTAAATAGTGATATTTCCCGACTTCCACTTTTGTTTCCAACGGAACACTTATCTGCCAACAGTCTAGGGTATGCAGGTGAGTGTTCATCAAAGGCACTCAAGGTTTGCTCCGATCATCACTTCCAGTATTGTTAACGACAAATATGACTAGGTAAGAGAGAAATCAGATCTTTTGATAATGAACAGACTAATGATGGTGGTAAGACACAAAACTTTAACTATCCAACTTTGGTAACAATAGAACGATATCGTTTTCAAGAAAATAGAAGCCAAAGCATTCAGTCAGGGAAAGGGCAAGAAGGACATATAAAAATAATTAAAGAAACACAAACTTATCTCAAGAACACCATCAACAACAACAGCAACAACATTAACGAAGACGACAATTAGGATAATAATAATGATGGTAATAATAACATTTATAATAACAATTATAATATTAATAGTAATAATATATACTAATAATAAT